GTGATCTGATGATGTTGAAGTGATGTTATGATGTTGATCCAGAAGTCAGGCATGTCAGCTCTGTTGTATTCTTTGCACCAGAGGATCCTTAAAGGACCAGCCAGGTTCAAGGGGGAGACGTATTAATAATAATCTGTCTCCTGGCAGCACAGGTAAGGATCTGGAAGGCCATACGACTGTGGTCACACACACATTCCACCCTGCCTAGGCACAGCATGGGAACAGCAAGGAGGTTCTACCCAGCCCCTTCAGGGTGTGGTCCGCAGGCAGGACTTCCACAGCTTTGTCCAACTGATGCTCGTGACTCTGGTCCCGTCTGGCCCTCTGTGGACAGATGGAATTTCTTTGAACGATGGAGCATTTTTTATCAGATTGATAAAATATGTAAATCTTCCCTCTTGTTAGCTGTCATTTCTCAGTTTAGGTCTTACACTATTTCCATTCCCAAGCTTCCATATGAGAGCAGTATGGTAAAGCGATAAACCATTCACATAACACCCAGGTCACACGCAGTGTCCTTTCAGTGCAGGATCAGGGTCTGCCAGTAGTGATTTGTGCAGGAGTGTGGTGGAGAGTCTGTGACGTGAAGAGGCAGTCCCACGAGAGAATGCCAATCAGCTCTTCTGTTTCTGATCAGAGAACCTTGATCTCACTGAGTTTGTTTCCCTGTGCCTCTTTGTGCTTTTTAATCTTTTTTTTTTTTTTAATTATTGAAGTATAGTTGATTTACAAGTTGTGTTAGTTTCAGGTGTATAGCAAAATGATTCAGTTATTACATTTTCCATTATAGGTCATTACAAGATATTCAAAATAGTTCCATATACTATACAGTTGGTCCTTGTCGGTTATCTGTTTTATCTGGGGTAGTTTGTATCTGCTAATTGCATACTCCTAATTTATCCCCTGCCCTTCCCCTTTGATAACCATATATCTGTTTTCTATTTCTTGTGTTTTTTAAGCTTTAAAATTGTTTTTTAAAAATATTCAGTTGTATGTCTTCCATACTTTTCCATTATGGCCTGAATTAATGTTCTAAGTGACTTTTTTCTTTATTATATTTCAGAGATGTGGACAATACAACAAAACATTAAGGAGAAAATAAAAATGTACTATAATGCTGGCCCTCCAAATAATTGTTAATATTTTAGTGCTTTTCCTATTTGAGTATTTTCTCATTATTAAATATTCTTATATTAAAATGATTTTAATGGCTAAGTACAAATTGAATATACCAGGACTTAATTTAACCACTCCCTTTATTGCTGGACACATGTTATTTCCTCTTTCTCATGCTCCTAATGCAATTACTTTTGCATTACTAAAGTAATAATAAATTTTTATTTAACACATATGATATTTTCTTTATTTATTAAAATGCTTAATAAAAATTATTTAAATTTAAATATATAAATTTTCTTTTTGAAAAACTGCAATAAAGGGACTACTGAATCATAGACTGTAAATAATTTAAAGTTTTGCTGTTGTTGTTTAGTCGCTAAGTTGTGTCTGACTCTGTTGCAGCCCCATGGACTGTAGCCTGCCAGCCTCCTCTGTCTGTGGAATTTTCCAGACAAGAATACTGGAGTGGGTTGTCATTTTCTTCTCCAGGGGATCTTCCTGACCTGAATCTCCTGCATTGGCAGGCAGGTTCTTTACCACTAGCATTATCAGGAAAGCCCAAAGTTTTTCTATATGGTCTTAAATCACTTTTCCAAATTCACACAATCACTATCAATCTGCACATAATTTTAAAATAAAAACAGGCAGGAATTATGTATGTGGGGGAATATGTAAAGCCATATTTTAAATGGACTTAATTCAGCTTTGATTTCTATTTGTTTTAGCCCTAAGATGAAAACTGAATCATTTGATTCCATCAAAGAGTGTTTTAAATTCCTTAGCTTCATGTTCTGATTCTATGCTTTTGTGTCTCTTTAAAGTGTAATCTCTGTCGCATATATTTTCCCACTACCACTGTATTTTTCTCCTTCGTGTATGGCTTGTGGTTTCACTGCTGTCAATCATTTTTCTCCAGATGTTCTTTTTCTTGTTGTCTCATTTAGTTCATGCATGACTATGCCATTACTCATTGCCCGTTGTCTTAACTTCCATGTAATTTGTCTACTCTGTAATTCTACATCTTTGAATGACAATGTTACTACTTTTAGCAGTAAAATACTCATGTATATGTGATTTTTACATATTTACTGTTTTCTCCTCATCACTACTATGGTCAATTATGAACAAACCTTCATGCATGCCTCACATGCTTTCTTGTATAATCGTGTCCATTTGTCTGCAAAATTGTATGTTGTCACTGAATTTTTTGTACATATATTAATTTATAATATATTAGATGTCTTTAGTATTTATGGTAGTTATGGGTACTTCATCTGCACTGTTTTCTTCTAATGTAGTTGACCATTTGGGATATAAACTTTAGGGAATTCTGGAGTTGATATAGTGAATGTTAAATTACATATCTTGATTAAATGGTTATTCTTGGACTCCAATTATAGTATTATACAACTTGTGAACTCTAAGGACTTCTAAAATATTGCCACACCTGGGCATTTTGTTTTTTTTTTCTAGCCATTAATTATAGATTTTTTAGTAACTCTGCAATTTAATCTGAATATATATATCTCAGTTCTTTTCCCTATGCAAAATTATTTTTATATACCTTCTAAGACTTTCACCATAGTTGGAAAAATACTAGTTTTACTTTTGATTACTTTTAAATTCTGAGCTCACTTTTTGCTGCTTATTTATTTACTTGAGATATAATTGACATATAACACTGTGTAAGTTGAGAAGTACGTTGTTTTTATATGATGCAGGTTATTACAAGATATTGAATATAGTTCCCTGTGCTACACAGCAGGTCCTTATTTATACCTTTTATGTATAGTAGTGTGTATACGTTAATCTCAACCTCCTAACTTATCCCTCCTCCCCCTTCCTCCTTGGTAGCCATAAGTCTGCTTTCTATGTCTGTTAGTCTGACTCTGTTCTATGATAAGTTCATTTGTATCATTTTCTTAGATTCCACATATAAACAATATCATATGACATTTATCTTTCTCTGTCTGACTTACTTAGTACGATAGAGATTCTAGGTCCATTCATATTGCAAATGGCATTATTTTGTTCTTTTTATGGCTGAGTAATATTCCATTGTGTATATATGTACCACATTTTCTTTATCCATTCATCTGTTGATGGGCATTTAGGTTGCTTCCATGTCTTGGATATTGTGAATAGTGCTGCTATGAACACTGGGGTGCATGCATCTTTTTGAATTATAGTTTTCTTTATAGTTATGCGTCCAGGAGTATGATTGCTGGTTCATACAGTAGCTCTGTTTTTCACTTTTTAAGTAACCTTCATATTATTCTCCACATGGTGGTTTTGTACAGAAAAGTGACATAAAGAGGGCTCTTTTCTGGTTCATGTGTTGGATACAAGTATGAAGGGGAAATATTTCAGGAGGCAGGAGCTCCCAGACTTGGCTACTCATTCACGGAAACAATGAATGCTGTGTGCCTACCATGTGTCTGACATTGTGCCAGGAGCTCTGAACCTGCAGTGAGCAAGCCATCATTGTCCGAGCTCTTATGGGGCTTGACATGCATTGTCCCTTCTTTTATGGCACTTATGCCCTGGTGTAAGAGAGGGAAAATGACTACTTACACTGGCGGTGATAGCAGCCATACATACAATACAGGTCTCCTGGCATCTAAAGTCTCCTTGGCAACACTCTTGCACTGTTGGTGGGAATGTAAATTGATACAGCCACTATGGAAGAAGGTATGAAGATTCCTTAAAACATTAGGAATAAAACCACAATTTGACCCAGCAATCCCACCCCTAGGCATATACCCTGAGGAAACCAAAATTGGAAAAGACACATGTATCCCATTGTTCATTGCAGCACTATTGACAATAGCTAGAACATGAAAGCAACCTAGATGTCCATTGACAGATGAATGGATAAAGAAGTTGTGGTACATACACACAATGGAATATTACTCAGCCATAAAAAGGAATGCATTTGAATCAGTTCTAATGAGGTGGACCTATTATACAGAGTGAAGTAAATAAGAAAAAGAAAGATAAATATCGTATACTCATGCATATACGGAATCTAGAAAAATGGTACTGAAGAATTTATTTGCAGTGCAGCAATGGAGAAACAGACATAGAGAACAGACTTATGGACATGGGGAGAGGGGAGGAGAGGCTGAGATGTATGGAGAGAGTAAGATGGAAACTTACATCACCATATGTAAAATAGATAGCCAACGGGAATTTGCTGTATGGCTGAGGAAACCCAGACAGGGGCTGGGGTGGGGTGGGGAGGGAGATGGGAGCGAGGTTTACGAGGGAGGGGACATGGGTGTACCTATGGCTGATTCATGTTGAGGTTTGACAGAAAACAACAAAATTCTGTAAAACAATTATCCTTCAATTAAAAAATAAATAAAATTTTTAAAAAATCATAAAAAAGTCTCCTTAGTATTCTAGCTTTCAGGGACTGTGACCAGTGTACAAACACATGTTTAGTGCCCTATTAGAGTCCTGTGCCCCTAAAAGGCACTCTCTGTTCTTACAGGTCAGCCTCTCTTTGGTTAGCATTCCTATTCCAGTGTGAGTTTGCCCATGAATGCAGTTCAAAGACCCAGGCTTCCTCTTTGATAAATCCAGTTTAGGAGTTGATATACTGGATACAAGTCTTGGAAATGACTGGATGCAGGAGATAAACTGTGGAGTTACGTACATACAGCTTATCATTCAGTAATAACCTGAAATTGCCATTCTCAAGAATGACCTCCAGGGAAGACAAAGTTTCCGGCATGATTCCAATGGGATTCAGAAGGTAGCAGAGCTCTGTTGGGGAGTCTTCCCTTTGTGGACCATTGGATAAATCACAGATGTGTTCATAGCCCTGTAAATATCTGTAGTTTACTAATGATATTTTTTTCTTTTTCCCTGGCCAGGAATCCTACATCTTTTCGGCAGAACTTGGAGAAAAATGTGAAACTATAGGCAAGAAACTATTGTACTTAGAAGATCAACTGCACATGGCAATCCACAGTCATGATGAAGATCTCATTCATATCCTTTTAATCCCCCAGATGAAGCACCTGTTAGGCTACTTTGTAGAAGAAGGTCTTAAAAATTTGCACAGTTCTCATATGCCTCAGCAGATGGAAACAAATAGATACTCCTGGTATTTAGAGTTCAACACACCTCTGATCTCTGAGATTATTCAGTATGTGATATTTTCTCTCTAGGTTTTGGTAAGTTGGCATTTTTGATGACTAAACCTGACTGCTAAAAACTACCAAAGAAATTCAGACATGCACAAAATCAGGCCAAAGAAAAATGTAGTTTTGGGGCTGTGCAGCTGGGTTTGTGGGGCTCAGATGGTTGTGAGTCTGACTGCCTCAGTTTTCCAGGGGCTTTCTAAATACCTAGAAACCCAAATCCATCTTCAGCTTCCTCTTCCATGCAATTCTGCCATATAATGGGCAGGAGAGTATCACACTAGTGGGGCTTCATATTACTCCCTTCCAATTTTTTCTCATACAAGATGCAGTGCATTTCCTGTCACACCTGCAAATTCCTTTATCAAAACTAGTTGCCAGTGAGCAAGATGGCACAAAAAACTACTGGCTTAGGAGGTTGTCCATGTGAAGCACTGAATTTGATATTAATCAGTGTATGGTTTGTCCCTGGTTAGCACTTCTGAGGGCAGATGAGTGAGTGCAAGATGGATGAAGGCATATACAGCTCCATCCTGTATTTTTTTTTTAGGTATTTAATCATAAGTTGAAACTTCTCTAGATGAAAGTACTTCTTTGTTCATTTATCTTTCCTGTTCAGTAGTATGACTTTTATTAGATGTATTTGTGAGAAATGTAGCTATTTTGAACTTTGTTTCTCATTGCTGTCTTTTCAGAATTCTAGCTCTTACCAGACTTAATCTGGAATATGTGTGTGTGTTTAAAGAGATTTGAATGGTCAAGCATTAACCATAATCACAAGTATTCAGATCCAGTCTAATGATGGATTCAGTGCTGTGTTTCTTTTCTCCTTATAACCTGAAATCTTTCACTTTGCTTATTAAATTTAGCAGGAAAAAAAGTTTCAACTTAATCAGTGATTATTTCCAATTGCTCAAGGTACATTTTTAAAAGCAGACATTCTGTTTTTCATAACTCCCTACCCCTAATAAACTGTTATTTAAGCTCTCATTAAAAAGCTGGCCAAAGAAACAATAGCGGTAGTTTTGTCTTTCACTTTTGTTTGTTTCATGTTCGTGGATCCCACAGATTTGAGCAGTTGTTAGGGGAGTGTGGCCTCCAGCAGATGGACAAGTGACCGTCTGCGGCTGGGCATCTGGGAGCAGGGTCCTGCCGAGGGCCAGTGCGCATGGAGCAGCTCCTGGCCAGCAGGTGGGCTTGTTCCTCGCTGGGAAAACCCCCCAGCTTCTGGTGGGCTCAGGAAACAGTTCTGACAGCTGCATTTGAGGTCTGTGTTAGCTTCTCGTTTAGAAATTTTCCAAAACGTTAGTTTGATTCTAGGGAATTGGGTTTTCTCCTTAATAGATTTGGGTAGTGGGAAGGAGGCTGAGAGGGGACAGAGCTGTGTATAAATAGGATGCTTTTAGTGTTCCCAAGCCAGATTCAGGAGCAATGGGATCATGGACAGTGGATAATGCCTCTATAAGCATCTCTAAAGTCAGATAACAACATGTACCTGTAAGGTTTCCAGGTGCCACTAGTGGTAAAGAACCTGCCTGCCAACGCAGGAGATGTAAGAGATGTGGATTTGATCTGTGAGTCAGGAAGATCCTCTGGAGGGGAGGGCGTGATAACCCACTCCAGTATTCTTTCTCTAGAGAATCCCATGGACAGAGGAGCCTGGCAGGCTTCAGTCCATAGGGTCACAAAGAGTCGGACACAACTGAAGTGACTGAGCATGCGCTCACTAAGGTTTTTATTTGAGTTAAATGGGTTATACTCAGGAGATGTGTTGAACATAGTTCTTATACATGGTTAAGTGCTTGGTTTCAGGTAGAAAAACATTTTCGGTGTCAGTGTCACAAGATCAAACCACATCCCATTTTTATATGAGGTTTCAAGATAGATTGATTCAATCATTTTGTAATAAATCCTTTCAAGAACTGATCGGTAACCCTACAATGACTTATATGAAAAGTCATTTCATTCTGATCAAATTTCTATAGACAGATAGGGATTATTATTTCTCCATGATAGTTGAGAAGACTGAGGCTTAGAAATTGCATGACTGTCCAAGATGGTTTCTGACGAAGGGCAAAGCATCCAGCCACCAGCCCATGGTCCTCATGGCCAATCAGGAGGCAGCAATGCCTGTAAGTAGCTGAACAGGTTTATTCTGTGGAACACACAATTGCTTTAAAAATGTTAAACTTTAATAAGAGGTGTTTAGTGAAGATATGTTTATTGAGAATTTTGCTGGTCCTTGCTAAAGTAAGTGGAAACGTAGAGGGAACTCGTCAAACCAGGATTGGGAAGCACTGGTTTAGGTACTGAAGTCACCCTCCACCAGTAAAATTTATACCACAATGTGGATTTCGATGGAGACTTTCCTCTGCATCTCTGGCTTTGTTCTGTGTCACTGATGGACAGTAAATACACAGAAAGTATCTTTGAATTCAGAGTGGCGCTTAGTGGATCTGGGTGCCCTGAGATAGAAAGACACATTTACAAGGCACTGCTGAGGCTTCTTTCACAAACCGAAGCCCTTGTTTCAAATGAGAACTTATCTCGATTCAAAGAGGCTGCTGAAATCCTCCAGCCAAGCTTCGACTGGTTTGTGTTTCCATTCTTGATCAAAGAGACAAAGCTGAGTGCAGTTGAAAGAAACAGCTTGCCGTCAACAACAGGAAAGAATTTCCCAGCGAGCGTAGTATTTTTGTTTGATTCCATTAAGGACTCTGCCAGAGCCTCCTGTGTGTAGGCTGCAGCGTGGACATGATTAATTCGAGCCCACATCGATGTCCATGTCCAGAAGATTCAAGCCTTGGACACTCCAGATGCGGGAGGCACGGAAATTTGCATAAGCCAGGAGAAAGCCCTGGGGCTGTAGCATCAGGGCTGGGTGGCAGTCACAAGCAGTGGGGCTGACCTTCCCAGCAGATCCTCTGGGCATCCTGGTTTCACATCAAGGCCGTGGACAGCTGACTTGTAGTCTCTTGTTTTTATGAAGAAGACACTGGATTGACAGAGCGGAGGAAGGGGAGAAGACAGGCCGTGTCTCCTCATCCTCCTGACAGGCTCACTAAATCACACCGAGTAACAGCACCAGCCCATCAGGCAGCACACGGCAAGCATCTGAGAAGAGTCTGCAGCGTTAATTGGAAGAGCCGGCGTCACAGAGGTGACTCACGCCTGGCATCTGAGGCGAGGACGGGAGGTGTGACTTCACTGCCACTCAAGCCGGGATTTCCAGGAGTGTGTGTCTGAGTCTGTAGTATAATTTCACAGTCACTTTGGATCCTAATTAGCAGTTGTGTTTTGAAAAAACATGTTGAGGGGATGGAATCATTCCTCCACGTAGATAGCGCTTTAACAGAAAACCATCTAGGTTACGTGGATGTTTTAGCGGTGATTTTTCTCTTCCTCCTTCAACTTGTACAACACTCTTTCAGAAGGACAGAAGGACACCTAGGAGTGGGACATTGAGCATATTTCAGAGCCCCCAGAGTAATTCTGCCTGCCTCTGAATCCTAGATGAGACAGGACAGACTGATTCTATCTGTGGTTCTATTTGCATTCATGTCCAGGAAACCCTCCTGGATTTCTGTTCTTTCTCTTTACTTGGAATGCGTGGTGCCCAATCCATTAGTTTTGGTGGTGCTTGATGGCATGCAAACACTCTAAATACATCCAGACACATACACAAATGCCACATGAGCTTAAGAGCCCTTGTTTGGTTCAGCTTTAAAACATGCAGCTGTAACTGACAAAGGAAATGGGAGTGGGGGACTTGCTCTTGCCTCCTTGGAAATGCTTTCATCTCCTAGAACCGAAGAGCTGGAGGAGGGATTGTGACCATCATGGTGTCACAGATGAAAGAAGTGAGACCCTAAGACGCTGCAGTTTGGCCATTGTGTGCACTGGTCCGATGCGAATGTGGGGGCTGGGGTTCTTCCCTCTGGCCCCCAGGAAAAGGACTGGAATGGGAAGAGGAGGAGCAGGAGCCCAGGAGAGGTGTGCACACCTGGCTCCTACTGCAGGCTTAGCGCGGGTTAACTTGGCCCTGGGCGGCACCACAGGAAGTGCACCTGCACAAGCTTCACACCATTTGAGGCTGTTGTGTGTGGGCAGGGCTTTCCTCTTCGCTCCTCAACAACTGTGCCCTCGCTTTTGGCTTTGGGAATGAAGGAGAGTTCCCAGGACTGTGGCCACAGGGCCTGCAGAGTCACTGTTGATAATGGAAAAATAATTTAGCAAATGAGTAACTATTTCAAAAGAAGTACTGTTACTTCTTTTGGAAGCAAAGGGGATCAGATGAACTGAAGATCGTCGTTTGACCCAGCTAATAAAATGATCGCTTGGAATCACACTTGGCAGTAAAACACTCAATTGTTTTTGATATATAAACAAAAGATCTCTTTGGAAAAATCTGAGGATCTTTGGACATGGCGGCCCTAAAGGACAGTGTGGTCTTAGCACTGGAAGACGCATGTGAAACGTGCTTTCGTTCATTGCAAACACACTGCACAATTTTGCTATCAAGAAGTAATGTTCTTGGGACTTCCCTGCTGGTCCACTAGTTAAGAATCCGCCTTTCAATGCAGGGGATGTGGATTCAATCCCTAGTCAAGGAGCAAAGATCTCACTTGCTTCCAGGCGGCCAAGCCCGTGTGGCAAAACTCGGAGTTCATGTGCTACAGCGAAGACCCAGCACAGCCAAAATTTTTAAAAACCTTTTTTAATTGTAAAAAAAAATTTTTTAAAGAAGTAATACTCTTGCCTAATACACCTGTAGTCTATAGCAAGGTGGTCTCGGGTTCAAAGGGGTTTTTAAAGATACTGGCATGCCAATCCTTATGCCATTGTAATTAATGTGCTGATTTTCTTAGCTGCCTCAGATCTTTGGTGGTGTATCTGTTACAGAGAATGAAATACCCACTTGGCTGAGAGGCTGCTAAGGCACAGGCATACTAAGAATCATTTAACTCCTTTTAGGCCTCTTCTTGCACTTAGATATAATGAGCACCTCTGTCACATATACATAAATT